TCACCCACTCACCCACTCACCCACTCACTCACCCACTCACTGCCTCTCCTCCCCTCATGCCCCTCCCCCTCACGCCACGCCCCTCTCTCATGCCCCTCCCCCCTCATGCCCCGCCCCCGCCCCCTCCCCCAATGCCCCGCCCCCTCTAACAGGAGAACGTCATCCGTGAGTTCAACCTGAACGAGATTTACGCAGAAGGTAGCAGCAGGAAGAAGAGGAAGGAGGTGAAGGAGGTGAAGAAGGAGGAGGTGAAGGAGGTGGTGAAGGAGGAGGTGAAGGAGGTGGTGAAGGAGGAGGTGAAGGAGGAGGAGGGGAGCGTTGCGGAGACCAAGAAAAATAAATGAGTCAACTTTTTTTTTGGTTGCATGCAACCCCGGATTGCACGCAATCCAGATTGCACGCAACCCGGATTGCACGCAACCCGGATTGCACGCAACCCGGATTGCACGCAACCCGGATTGCACGCAATCCAGATTGCACGCAATCCAGATTGCGTGCAATCCAGATTGCACGCAATCCGGGTTGCATGCGACCGAGGTAGGCTGCAACTCATTCAATTGCATGCAACTCGCAGCGAGGGAGAAAGTTGCCCGCAACTGCTTAGGCAACCAGTTGCACTCCAGATGGGAGTGCACGCACACACACTCCAACTACACGCGTGTGTGTTAGTGTGTGTGTTAGTAAGTGTGTTAGTGTGTGTTAGTGTGTGTGTGTTAGTGTGTGAGTGTGTTAGTGTGTGTGTGTGTGTGTTAGTGAGTGTGTGTGTTAGTAAGTGTGTTAGTAAGTGTGTGTTAGTGAGTGTGTGTGTGTGTTAGTGTGTTAGTAAGTGTGTGTTAGTGTGTGTTAGTAAGTGTGTTAGTGTGTGTTAGTGTGTGAGTGTGTTAGTGTGTTAGTGTGTGTTAGTGTGTGTTAGTAAGTGTGTTAGTAAGTGTGTGTTAGTGAGTGTGTGTGTGTGTTAGTGTGTTAGTAAGTGTGTGTTAGTGTGTGTTAGTGTGTGTTAGTAAGTGTGTTAGTGTGTGTTAGTAAGTGTGTTAGTGTGTTAGTGTGTTAGTGTGTGTTAGTGTGTGTTAGTAAGTGTGTTAGTAAGTGTGTGTTAGTGAGTGTGTGTGTGTGTTAGTGTGTTAGTAAGTGTGTGTTAGTGTGTGTGTTAGTGTGTGTTAGTAAGTGTGTGTTAGTGTGTGTGTTAGTGTGTGTGTTAGTGTGTGTGTTAGTGTGTGTGTGTTAGTGTGTGTGTGTGTTAGTGAGTGTGTTAGTGTGTGTTAGTGTGTGTTAGTGTGTGTGTGTTAGTGTGTTAGTGTGTGTGTTAGTGTGTGTGAGTTAGTAAGTGTGTTAGTGTGTTAGTGTGTGTGTTAGTGTGTTAGTGTGTGTGTGAGTGTGTGTGTGTTAGTTAGTGTGTGTTAGTGTGTGTGTGTTAGTGTGTGTGTTAGTGTGTGTTTGTAAGTGTGTTAGTAAGTGTGTGTGTTAGTGTGTGTGTTAGTGTGTGTGTGTTAGTGTGTGTGTGTGTGTTAGTGTGTGTGTTAGTGTGTGTGTTAGTGAGTGTGTTAGTGAGTGTGTTAGTGTGTGTTAGTAAGTGTGTTAGTGTGTGTGTTAGTAAGTGTGTTAGTGTGTGTTAGTAAGTGTGTTAGTGTGTGTTAGTGTGTGTGTTAGTGAGTGTGTTAGTGTGTGTTAGTGAGTGTGTTAGTGTGTGTTAGTGTGTGTTAGTGAGTGTTAGTGAGTGTGTTAGTGAGTGTGTTAGTGAGTGTGTTAGTGTGTGTCTTAGTGTGTGTGTGTGTGTTAGTGTGTGTGTGTGTGTGTTAGTGTGTGTGTGAGTGTGTGTGTGTTAGTGTGTGTGTTAGTGTGTGTGTGTGTGTGTGTTAGTGTGTTAGTTAGTGTGTGTTAGTGTGTGTTAGTGTGTGTGTGTGTTAGTGTGTGTGTTAGTGACTGTTAGTGTGTGTGTGTTAGTGTGTGTGTGTGTTAGTGTGTGTGTTAGTGTGTGTGTGTTAGTGTGTGTGTGTGTGTTAGTGTGTGTGTGTGTGTGTTAGTGTGTGTGTGTGTGTTAGTGTGTGTGTGAGTGTGTGTGTGTTAGTGTGTGTGTGAGTGTGTGTGTGTTAGTGTGTGTGTTAGTATGTGTGTGTGTGTTAGTGTGTGTGTTAGTATGTGTGTGTGTGTTAGTGTGTTAGTTAGTGTGTGTTAGTGTGTGTGTGTGTTAGTGTGTGTGTGAGTTAGTGTGTGTGTGTTAGTGTGTGTGTGTGTTAGTGTGTGTGTGAGTTAGTGTGTGTTAGTGTGTGTGTTAGTGTGTGTGTGTGTTAGTGTGTGTTAGTAAGTGTGTGTGTTAGTGTGTGTGTGTGTTAGTGTGTGTTAGTAAGTGTGTGTGTTAGTGTGTGTGTGTGTTAGTGTGTGTTAGTAAGTGTGTGTGTTAGTGTTAGTGTGTGTGTTAGTGTGTGTGTGAGTGTTAGTGTGTGTGTTAGTGAGTGTTAGTAAGTGTGTTAGTGTGTGTTAGTGTGTTCGTGTGTGTGTTAGTGTGTGTTAGTGTGTGTGTGTTAGTGTGTGTGTTAGTGTGTTAGTGTGTGTGTTAGTGTGTGTGTGTGTTAGTGTGTGTGTTAGTAAGTGTGTTAGTGTGCGTGTGTTAGTGTGCGTGTGTTAGTGTGTGTGTTAGTGTGTTAGTGTGTGTGTTAGTGTGTGTGTGTTAGTGTGTTAGTGTGTGTGTGTTAGTGTGTTAGTGTGTGTGTTAGTGTGTGTTAGTGTGTGTGTGTTAGTGTGTTAGTGTGTGTGTGTTAGTGTGTGTTAGTGTGTGTGTGTTAGTGTGTTAGTGTGTGTGAGTTAGTGTGTGTTAGTGTGTGTGTGTTAGTGTGTGTGTGTGTTAGTGTGTGTGTGTTAGTGTGTGTTAGTAAGTGTGTTAGTGTGTGTGTGTGTGTGTGTTAGTGTGTGTGTTAGTGTGTGTGTGTGTTAGTGTGTGTGTGTTAGTGTGTGTGTTAGTGTGTGTGTGTGTTAGTGTGTGTGTGTTAGTGTGTGTGTGTGTTAGTGTGTGTGTTAGTGTGTGTGTGTTAGTGTGTGTTAGTGTGTTAGTTAGTGTGTGTTAGTGTGTTAGTGTGTGTGTGTTAGTGTGTTAGTTAGTGTGTGTTAGTGTGTTAGTGTGTGTGTGTTAGTGTGTGTGTGTTAGTGTGTGTGTGTTAGTGTGTTAGTGTGTGAGAGTTAGTGTGTGTGTGTGTGTGTGTTAGTGTGTGAGAGTTAGTGTGTGTGTGTTAGTGTGTGTGTGTTAGTGTGTGTGTGTGTTAGTGTGAGTGTGTGTGTGTTAGTGTGTGTGTGTTAGTGCGTGTTAGTGTGTGTGTTAGTGCGTGTTAGTGTGTGTGTGTGTTAGTGTGTGTGTTAGTGTGTGTGTTAGTGCGTGTGTTAGTGTGTGTTAGTGCGTGTGTTAGTGTGTGTTAGTGTGTGTGTGTTAGTGTGTTAGTGCGTGTGTTAGTGTGTGTTAGTGCGTGTGTTAGTGTGTGTGAGTGTGTTAGTGTGTGTGTTAGTGTGTGTGTTAGTGTGTGTGTTAGTGTGTGTGTTAGTGTGTGTTTGTGTGTGTGTTTGTGTGTGTGTTAGTGTGTGTGTTAGTGCGTGTGTTAGTGTGTGTTAGTGCGTGTGTTAGTGTGTGTTAGTGTGTGTTAGTGTGTTAGTGTGTGTGTTAGTGTGTGTGTTAGTGTGTGTTAGTGTGTGTGTTTGTGTGTGTTAGTGTGTGTGTGTTAGTGTGTGTGTGTTAGTGTGTGTGTGTGTGTTAGTGTGTGTTAGTGTGTGTGTGTGTGTTAGTGTGTGTTAGTGTGTGTGTGTTAGTGTGTGTGTGTTAGTGTGTTAGTGTGTGTGTTAGTGTGTGTGTGTGTTAGTGCGTGTTAGTGTGTGTGTGTGTTAGTGTGTGTGTTAGTGTGTGTGTTAGTGTGTGTTAGTGCGTGTGTTAGTGTGTGTGTGTTAGTGTGTTAGTGAGTGTGTTAGTGTGTTAGTTAGTGTGTGTGTGTGTTAGTGTGTGTGTGTGTTTGTGTGTGTTAGTGTGTGTGTGTGTTTGTGTGTGTTAGTGTGTGTGTTTGTGTGTGTTAGTGTGTGTGTGTTAGTGTGTGTGTGTGTGTTAGTGTGTGTGTGTTAGTGTGTGTGTGTGTTAGTGTGTGTGTGTGTTAGTGTGTGTGTTAGTGTGTGTGTGTTAGTAAGTGTGTGTGTGTGTGTTAGTGTGTTAGTGTGTGTTAGTGTGTGTTAGTGTTTGTGTTAGTGTGTGTGTGTTAGTGTGTGTGTGTGTTAGAGTGTGTGTTAGTGTGTGTGTGTTAGTGTGTGTGTGTGTTAGTGTGTGTGTGTGTGTGTTTGTGTGTGTGTTTGTGTGTGTGTTAGTGTGTGTGTGTTACTGTGTGTGTGTTAGTGTGTATGTGTCAGTGTGTGTGTTACTGTGTGTATGTGTCAGTGTGTCTGTGTGTGTGTCTGTGTCAGTGTGTGTGTGTTTGTTTGTGTGTCTGTGTGTGTTTGTGTGTTAGTGTGTGTGCGACAATACTGTAAATGATGTTGATGATGGTGATAGCGATGGTGATGATGATGGTGGTGGTGGTCGCGATGATGGCGATGATGATGGTGATAGCGATGGTGATGATGGTGGTGGTGGTGGTGGTCGCGCTGGTGATGATGGTGATAGCGATGGTGATGATGGTGATAGCGATGGCGATGATGGTGGTGGTGGTCGCGATGGTGATGATGGTGATAGCGATGGTGATGATGGTGATAGCGATGGCGATGATGGTGGTCGCGATGATGGTGATGATGGTGATAGCGATGGCGATGATGGTGGTGGTCGCGATGATGATGGTGATGGTTATAGCGATGGCGATGATGGTGGTGGTGGTAGTGGCAGCTAACTGTGTTGAACACATTAAACATTTCACATCCCTCACCCACGATGAGTCTGTGTGTTTGTGTGTCTGTGTCTCTGTGTGTGTGTCTGTGTCTCTGTCTCTGTGTGTGTCTGTCTGTGACTGTCTCTGTGTGTGTCTGTGTGACTGTGTGCCACTGTCTGTGTGTGTCTCTGTTTGTGTCTCTGTGTGTGTCTGTGTTTGTGTCTGTCTCTGTGTGTCTGTGTGTCTGTGACTGTGTCTGTGTGTTTGTGTGCCACTGTGTCTGTGTGTGTCTCTGTTTGTGTCTGTGTCTCTGTGTGTGTCTCTGTGTGTCTGTGTGTCTGTGTGTGTCTGTGTGTCTGTGACTGTGTCTGTGTGTCTCTGTGTGTCTGTGTGTCTCTGTGTGTCTGTCTCTGTGTGTCTGTCTGTGACTGTCTCTGTGTGTGTCTGTGTGTGTCTGTGACTGTCTCTGTGTGTGTCTGTGTGTGTTTGTGTGCCACTGTGTCTGTGTGTGTCTCTGTTTGTGTCTGTGTCTCTGTGTGTGTCTGTCTCTATGTGTCTCTGTGTGTCTCTGTGTGTCTGTCTGTGGCTCTCTCTGTGTGTTTGTGTTTGTCTGTGTGTGTCTGTGTGTCTCTGTGTGACTGTGTGTCTGTGACTGTCTCTGTGTGTCTGTGTCTCTGTGTGTGTGTCTGTGTGTCTGTGTCTGTGTCTCTGTGTGTGTCTCTGTTTGTGTCTGTGTCTCTGTGTGTCTCTGTGTGTGTCTGTCTGTGACTGTCTCTGTGTGTGTCTGTGTGTCTCTGTGTGACTGTGTGTGACTGTGTCTCTCTCTCTGTGTCTCTGTGTGTGTGTCTCTGTGTGACTGTGTGTGTCTGTGTCTCTGTGTGTGTCTCTGTTTGTGTCTGTGTCTCTGTGTATGTCTCTGTG